ATTGATCAATTTGTTGATGTTGTTGTTTCTGTGTGACAGACATCGCAGGATTCCTGATCCTTATCCCCCAATATCGTTCGTTTGAGTGCACTAGTTTCGGCCTCCATGGCCAGCCAAGGTCGGCTGCCAGTCAGCTGATAATCGAGTTGTCGTTACTCTGGGTATAAAGGGACTCTAGGTGTAGCATCTCATTAGTGGGCCATATTCTGCTGCATCAGCAGGAGGATCATCTGAACCGTTTCCGAGGCTTAGTAACAATATTTCTTTGAAAAATCAACAAATTTCAATTTTTTTGAAATTTATTCGGGCCTTGTGAAATTTCATGAAATTTCAAAACGTGAAATTTCACTTTCCATCTCTGGGTTAGAGTCCCTTTATACTGAGAGTCAAGACAATTCGGCTCATGGATGTCACAAACGGGAATAAAGATTACAGAAATTGAACGTTTTTCGTAATCTTTGATCGGCCCATTCTCAAATGCCTTTCTCTGTTCCTCCTCTTATTCCGTTTGTTCCTTGCCGAACCCGTAATTCCCTGGTCCATTCCAGATTATAATCTTTGCAATTGGTGAAAATGTAATCTTTATTCCCGTTTGTGACACTGTGGAGGCCTAAAATACGGGAACCAATAATCAGAATTGGATTCAAATCGTCTTGACTCTCAGTATAAAGGGACTCTAATTGGGGTGATGGAGAACTTGGAGTACCTGTATAGCGAGAGTATGGACAGATGTGAAACTCCGAAAATTCATCAGGCCTTCACCGATGCTTCTGCGAATAAAGTTAGGGCCCAGAAATGCAGCCAACCTATGAATTTCAATTATCCAGAGCGATTTACTGATACTATTGTTACGAACCGTCCTTTATTAAGCACGTGTTTGACCCGCAGTTTTTGAATAAATTTACTCAATTTCGCGGAAGAACGCTCATTTCTGTACATTCTTTGCCATCATGGTTAGAATTGGAATCTGCAGACTGGCAGTGAAATTTTGTGCGTTAGAAGTTGGTTAGAAGGGTGGCTGCACTTTTGGGCCCTAAGCCCTCCATGAAGCGATCTGTCCATACTCTCGCTATACAGGTACTCTAGGAGAACTGTTGCCCAAGTGTTATAGATGGAGGGAATTTGGATTATGAAATAGGTTAGGGCAAGTAGAGTCCCTTTATACCCAGAGTTAAGACAACTCGATTATCAGCTGACTGGCAGCCGGCCTTGGCTGGCCATGGAGGCCGAAACGAGTGCACCCAAACGAACGATATTGAGGGGTAAGGATCAGGAATCCTGCGATGTCTGTCACACAAAAACAACAACATCAACAAATTGATCAATTAAAAAGAAAATGAGATTGGTTTGTGAATAATTTCTTAATCTATTTTCATTTTGGACCGATGGAAATAACAATTTACTCTTGATAAACCACAATTAGGTAATATTTTCATTATTCTTGTTCACATTCGAGGTACCGCCATCTTGGTGCACTCGTTTCGGCCTCCATGAGCGAGAACCAATCAGAATTGGATTTTTTTTTAGGCCACTTTCAGCCCAACCAAAAGTGAGTTGTCTTAACTCTGGGTATAAAGGGACTCTAAGGGCAAGTAGGGTTGGTAGCCTGAATTGAATGGGATTAGCCCTTGAGGGCTATTTGAAGCTCAAAAAAAAAAAAAAAACAAAAAAAAAAAGAAAAGAAGGAAAAAAGTGATGTTTCACCGTATCAATCGAAAATTGTGTCACTTTTTTCCAAATTATGCTATTCTTGGCTGGACTTCTCTAGACTTCTCTCCCCTCTCTGCCCCAAGTTTTAGCCCACACGACGCGACGCTTCTGTCCATTTATTGGCTCTTGAGAGTAGGAGCCGCAATAAACATTTCCCAAGGAGAAAACATATTAAAATGAAAAATAGAAAAAACTGCATTTGTGGTTATCACTTTTTTTTATCAAAAGAAAAGCTGAGACAAGAAAAGTGATAAACTTTTTGAAAAGTCCCGCTATTTGGAAAGAGGGGGCACGTTAGGTGTTTGCCATCGGTAGTGCTTCTCTCTAACGACTGTTTTGAGAACTCTGAGATATAACCTCCTCTCTCCTCTCCTCTTGTCAAAAAGTTAGGCTGTTGTTTTCGGCAGCAGCTCGGTTGTGATTCCGGCATTTACTGTCGAAAAATTAAATAATAATGGTGAAAAATGGCGTCGGCTGGTGAAATTTTGTGTTCTAATTGTAATGAGGATCCAAATTTCGCCATAATTTGTTCATTCTTCGAAAGGTTCGGGGAAAAATGTGGCTTAGTTCAACCTTCGTTTGAGGAGCTTCAGGAGATGTTGGAAAACACAGATGAAGGTAGGTGAAGTGCCTCTGTTTTGATGTACATTTGGACTGTCTTCCAAACAATTCAAGTGTTAGTTTTTCACTCATTCAACCGCACTGAGAGCTGCAGCTTAATTTTAAATCTGTTTTCTCAGAGCATATTTCTTGTAGAAGTAAAGCAATCAGTCCTAGGAAATATGCGGGTCAATGGCAACGCTCAGTTTATGCCGACCAAAGTTAGCTGTGTGTTATTTTTTCATGAGGCCATATTCTTAAACTTATAAGAGGAAACAGTAACACTTTCCCGCACACATGCTTAGGTTTTTCCCCAAGCTCTCAGCTATTGCTGATTTAGCTGTGGATTTAAGGAGATTTGTTTACTCCGAAGACCAGAGCATACGAATTGTGCGTACTTAGAGTGGTGCTCATTGATTGATCCCACTGGGAGTGAGTTAGCTAAGTTTGTTTGTGTCCATGTGAACTTGTCCGATTATCATCTTAAATTGTCTTCACTTGTGAAAAACATCATTCGAAAGCTTGAAGGCATGGAGGTGCTGTCTGTCAACCTATTTTGTATGTAGACAATCATATGCAAATGCCCTATCATCCTGTCACATTTGAATTTAAATAATTGAAGCTAAATTGTTTTTATTTATCTTTTAAGGGTGTCTGCTGATATCTAAAGCTGTATGTGTTAGAATTTTCTGTTCATTATTGGGAATTGAGTCTTCATATTATCAAGACACTTTAATTACATTCACTTAAAAATATTTACCACTTTAACAATATCAATTTTTTTTAAACAATTGAATTACAAGCATAGAAGCCTATCAGACTACCTAACTCACTCAAAATATTAGAATAATAGTAAAAGATGACCTAATATAATGTAGAAGGGTCAGGGATTTTTGTACTTCTTCTCGTGTAAAATTTCACACGGAAAGCAATGGTAAGGAACACCGGTTTCAGAGGCGCAAAAACTTTTTGACCATGTAATTGGCCAGGTCGCGAGAGAAAATGGGGAGGCCTCGAAATAGTGATGCCTGAGAAGGAAAGCTGGCATAATTGCGTTTTTTTTTTTTTGCTAAAGCGCGATTAAAGTCACGTGTCTTTCGCAAAATCGCGGCAATTTATACTTACTAAGCTGTGAAAAAGTTATTTTTATGAAATTTCTGCAGAAAAAGGGGTTTTCCAAATGGAAGGCAAATTTGATAACTAGGAAAGCTAAGAAGTTTCTGTACGTGACTGAATTTCTCTGAAATTAATTCCCAAGCTCGAAAAAAGTTTTCCAAGTTGAGGCTGTAATGGAGGGAATTCCCCACACTACGTTGAGAGTTCATCTCTATATCTAGTCAAATTCTACATGCACATTTAGGGAGAAAATATATTAGCAGGGTAATGTAACGGCAATTCTGCTAATGTATTTGATCCCCATCTATGCATGGAGAGTTTGACTAAATATAGAAATGGACTCTCAACATTAGCATGGGATATTCCCTCCATCTTGGCCTGAATTTTGAGAGCTTTTTTTGAGCTTGGGAGTTGATTTCAGAGAAAACCAGTGGCACCATTGTGTTCCTCACAAAATTTTACGAACGGAGAAGTACTTAATACGCAAATCCCTGTTACATGCCAGAACTCTAGCTTTCAACCACATCTCTCATTAATGATTTTGAATCCAAAAATTTCCATCAAGTTACAAAAATTAATTAATGCCAATTCTCATCTGTTACAGCTCCTCAACCTCTCGTAGATCTGCACATAAAATTGTTACGTAAAGCAAGAAAGTCTGTGAATCCAGAAAAATGGGAAAGAGCTCTCACCAAGTTTGCTCACACGTACTCAAATCAAGACGGTTGGGAGCTGGAGCGATTTGGCTACAAAAAATCAAAACTATCGGTTAAACTTCGTATCCTGAAGGTTTGTTTGCTCAGCTTTTTTAAATCAGGCACTACTTTGTTTTCACCCCCAAATAACCAAAAAATTTTGAGCTGCTGCCATGTAGCCCCAATGAGGTGATAGAGGCTTGTCACCACTCCTATAAGCAAATCCAAATTGGAATTACTCGGCTCAAGTAGGCGCACCATGCGTCAAGTTCCATAGTGACATCACTGGAGGGAGGAAAGCAATTGCTCCCCCCCTAATGTTTCAGAAGTCACAACAAAAAGAGGAAAATGGATAATGGAAAAGAAACAAGCTGCATTTTTCCAATTAACGTTTTTTGTCCTCATCATACTATTAATTTTTTTACTTAGGTACCCTGTTATTTTTACAGGCAAAAAAAAAAAGAAAGAAAGAAAGAAAGAAAGAATAAAGGTCATTTGCCTCATCAAGGCTATGGTAAAATGACGCCATGAAAGTTACAAGGTAGTTAGTGATTTCAAGTTTGATACATCCTAGAATCTAGTTAACATCAAAGTAAAGAAAAGGGCACCGAATCTTCTCTTGATTTGGAGGTAAATAAATTGAAAGTCTCAATGCTGGACAGACTTTACTATAAACTCGTCTTGCAGGGTAAGAGTGTTCTGTTTCACTGTAGTACTAATAAACAAGTGTTGTGTGAAAGCTCAGTGAGAAACATATCTTATTTACATAAAAATGTGTCTTTTTTTTCATCTTATTTTATGTTCATATAAAAACATTTTGGTTCTGAGCCTCACTAAAGCCTCCCTTATCAAAAACATGAATGCTCAATGGTCAGCCTCTTATGGTGCAGTGGTTGTAGTGATGGCGTCATAACCAGGAGGTCCCGGGATCGATTCCTGGCTAGGTGATCCGAGTTTGATGGGCTCGGAACTGAAGGGGTGGTGCTCTGACTGAAAGCGCAGGATTACCACTTGTGTGGTATTTGAAATAGCCCTAAGAAAAAGAGAAGTTTGCTTTTTTTTCTAATCTTTTTGTTCTGTTGTTTTTGTTTTTCAGGAATTATTAGAGGTTCAGTTTGACACCAACATAAAATTTAAAAATGAAATTAACAAACTTACTGCTGAAGACCTGCGCATTGACCCATTAGGTCGTGATAATAATGGTGTTGTTTATTGGTGTCAGTTTGATCCTGTCTCAAATGTCAGAATTTACCGAGAAGATCTGGATGATGAAAGCTGGGCAGTTGCAGCGAAGTAAGAATAATTTTTCTCTCTTTTCTTATGTTCTCCCAAAATTGTTACTTAGTGATTCGGTTTAGCTACCAATTTATTGCCCTTTTTGATGAAAAGGCTAAATTAGCTAAATCATCAAATTTTTTTTTAAAAATCACAACCTACCAAAGATAACTATATTGGAAAATACCATCAAAATGGCTATTCCGACCGGTATTGAAAAGTAACGCCTGTAACTGTCAAAAACATATGTCCAGCTAGTTACATTCCATGATGGATGAAGAATAGAGAACATTATGGACCAAACAGTATATAGCAGAAAAAGCATTTTTGGAAAAATCATATTTTAAGTTTTCATCAATGCTTTGACGGTTCATCACATGAACCAACCCAAAAATGTTCACTTTCTATTATGTCATGTCTCTGAGGAAGACTGAGAAGTATACAGGTCATATAATCACATAAAGTCATATGATGTTGTCATTTTTTCATTACGGTCTATTTCTGGTTTATTGCATTTTTTAGTTTTTCCAATAATTTCATTTTACATCTTTATTCGTTTGTTAAGGAACCGTGCTGAACTTATGGTATTGCTACGGAGTCTCTCTGGAGGGGCTGATTTCTCAGAAATATACACAAATGATGACAGCAGCAGTCAACCGGTTTTGGACACAGGCCAAAAACTGTATACAAACCTCCCTCCAGGATGTGTTAGAATTTCAACTTTCGAAGGTGGCATCATCACGCCTCAAGGGATCAAATTCGAACAACCCGGATCATCACCTGTCAAAACAGAATCTGTTAAAACGGAACCCATCAAGACAGAGCAGGTTAAGGCTGAGCCTGAAGCAGGGCAAGATGATTCAATCAAATTGTCAATATCAAACAACTTTAAGAAACTACTGTCTAACCCAGACAAGGCCGGCTCACTGATAAAGAAAATTGGTCTAGTTAGTGGGGTTTCCGTGAATGGAGTGAAAGAGCAGGCCAGCTCAAGTAATCATGAAGAAAGTGATGCAAGCTCGAACCCTGCTAATGATATCAAAATGAGGTTCTCGCTTTTGAAGAAGAATAGCCATGCAAGTAATGATATAGCGTCTAGACGTGTGAATCCTGATGCATCGACTGAACAGTCCGCAGAAGAAGATGAAGATGATGGAAATGAAGAAGATGAAGAAGGAGAGGAAGTAGATGAAGAAGAAGAAGAAGAAGGAGAAGAAGTAGAGGAAGAAGAAGATGCTGAAGGAGAAGAAGTGGATGGAGAAGAGGAGGAGGAAGGAGCTGAAGTGGACGGAGAAGAAGAGGAAGGAGAAGAAGGGGAGGAGGAAGAAGAAGATGATGATGAAGAAGGAGAAGAAGAGGAAGAAGAAGAAGTAGAAAAATCAAAAGTATGCAAAAGTGAATCCAAAGACTTATCAAACAAGCTAGAAAAAAATGGGGTACAAAATAAAATTTCGGAGGAAGAGGCAATGCAAAGTAGCAAATCAACATCAAAAAGCTCTGCTAAAATAACAACAATCAATGAAAATTCATCCGGGAAAACCAATGCGACAAGTGTGCCACCGAAAAATTCTCCAGTGCCTGATGGTAAAAAGTCTGCTGATTTAACTTCTAAATCAAATAATGAGTCTGAAAATGGATTGACCGCTAAAGCCAACGGTGATGCACTCAAAAATGCTGTCACGAAACTAAAGAGGAAATTGAGCGAGGATATTGCTCCAAATCCTAAGAAAGTGCACATTGAAGATGTCAAAGATAGTAAAAAAGTTCAGGACTCAAAAGAAGAGATAGGTGAAGCAATCGAAGAACCAGTCATGATCGTCAAAGGTGAAGGCTCTGGTGCTGAGTGTAACGATGGTAATAGTTTTCTGCTGTTTAATGATCTTTCCACTGAAAGAGTCAGTCTAGAAGCTCCAAGCGAAGAATCTCTCAGAGATGATTTCTCAGAAGATGACTGTTTTATTGGTGAAGCTATTGAGGAACCAGTTTTAATATTCTTTGGTGAAGGTGCAGGTGCAGAATGTGATATGGGCAACTTACACCAAGAGGAGAGGAAGACAGAGGCTGATAAAAATTGTGAAAAATTAGCTGAGGAGGACCAGTACAAAGATAAAGCAAAGCCATGCAATGAGAAGAATTCAAGTATGAAAGACAATGCAGATGAGTCTGGATCAGGGTCAAAAAAACCAGTTAAATTGTGGAGTATTGATACAATTTGTAACTCTGAAACTTCAAAAAAGAAAGATCCTGAACAATCCAAAGCTGAAGACGTTGAGGACTTTGCTATGAGTGGATTCTTTTTTGGCCCAAGCAGTGCTCAAGTACCGAAGCTGGATGAAAAAAGTCAGCCCTCCAGCACAAAGGACAAGTCAAGCAAAGCAGCTGAAGCGGAAAAAAGTAAAATCAATTCTGATTCTGCCGTCAAAAGTAGTGCACCAAAAGAGTTTAATGCTTCTAAATCCTCTTCTTTCGGGATTGATAAACTTTTAAAACCATCAGAAATAAACGTTTCCTCGCAGTCTAAGGTAGAAACTTCTGGTGATGAGTCATCATCGCAGAAACCTGAAAAAAATGCAACTCCTACCTCTAACACAAATGGCCAGCCACCGCTTACTAAAACCAGTGAAACTAAAAGCACATCCCTGTCCTCGACCAGCAATAAGAAAGATAATATGAATGATGTCATCATTAATAATGAATCCAGGAGTACTTCAGTTCCATATGTCTCTGATTTATCTAAACTAGCGAGTTTTGTTGATCAGACCAATAAAGGGCATGAGTCGTCTCTTTCTACTTCAAAAAGCTCCAAGCCTAAACCGCTATCTGAAGATAAATCTGTAAATTCCCCTACAGTAAAACATACTTCTGAACAAAAAGAAGCGGCAAAGGTTTCAGAGCCCGCCAATCCTGTCAAGTTACCCGCATCTGTACATAGCCAAGTCTCCTCCAAATGTGACTCAAAACTGTCAGATTCTAAAGCAAAATCAAGTAGCACAGAAAAACAACAAGCTGAAACAAAATCAGTTGATCAGTCTTTGAAGGAAGGTTCGAAAGAAGGGATCAAGACTCCGAGCATAAAATCATCAAAAGGTCAAGATTTTAACTCATCCAAGAGCACCAAGTCTGTCAAAGACCCTCAAGCATCTGATTGTCATTCCATTGTCCCTACAAGCAATCAGCAGAAAGAAGGGCAGGCCGATGTTCCTGACAGATCTGAAAGTCATGAGCCTGAAGATAAATCCAGTAAATTTTCTTCAAAATTAGATAATAAAACGGAGAAAAAGTCCATCAGCAAACCAGAAAAACCATCCAATCCAGTCCCAAAGTCTGATCCCCTGTCAAAGTCAGAATTTTCCAAGGAGAAAATCAGCAAATCATCTGGCAAAGAAGATGCACTCCATAAGTCCAAAACTGGAAGTAAGCTATCAGATCCATCAAAGGAAACATTGACGGATGGCTCTGGAAAGAAACCAGACAGTAAATTTTCAAGCGAACAGAGTCAGAAAGTTAAGAAATCCGAACCCAGCTTGGATGCAAAGTCTACTGGTGCTTCAACTGATGCGGGAAACAATTCAAAGAGTAAAAGTTCTTCCACTGAAAAGATACAGCGAGTATCTGCATCTGAAGTGCCCTCCAAATCAGATGCTAGGAATGACAAAGACGTTTCCAAAACCAGTAGCTTTAATGTCTCTCAGCCAACTACGTGCAAAGCGCCCTCAAATGCCAAAGAAGATGCTACTAAAGTGGAGAGCAAGAAACTTGAATTATTGTCTCAGGAATTCAAAGATAGTGATGTCTCTAAAAGTAGAGATAACAATGCCTCTCAGTCTGCTGTTGAGGTATGCAAAAAAACTACAACAGCAGCTTCAAAGGGTAACTCTGAAGTTGAATGTACGAAACCTGAATCTGTCGCAACAAAAGCCAAGAAAGATAAAGATGAAACAGAAGCCTCCATAAAACCGAAAAAGAGCTTACAAGAGGACAAAAAAGAAGACCCTTCAGTCTTTGGTAAGAAATCCGAAGCAGCCCCTTCAAAAATTAAAAATGACAAAGAAATGAAGGAAAACACTGAAAAAGCAGGGAAAAATTTACCAGAGAAGAAAAAGGTTGTGAAAGAAAACATACCAGAGGCTAAAAAATGTCAATTAGATGTTAAAGAAGATCCAAAACATTCCAAAAAAGAGCCCCACAAAAAAGTGGAACTCAAAGATGAAAACGAAGAAGCAGCCGAAACAAATTTCCCCCTAAAGACTGAAAAAGATGAAGAACAACCTAAAATATCTGTAAAAGATGAGATTCAAGAACCTGAAAAGGAGTCCTGTAAAAAAATGATGAAAGAAGAAAGTGAGAAGAGCCCCAAGCCTGAACAAAAAACTGAAGTTGAATCTATCAAGAAAGAAGAATCTGATGAAAAAGACGAGAGCCAAACACCAGCAGCTGACAAAGGAAACAAGGATGCTCCAAGTGTAGAACCCAAAAAAAGAGGAAGGAAGAAAAAAATTAGACCAGAAGAAGAATCTAAGGAAGATAAGAAAGAAGAAAATTCTGAAGAAGCTGCTGGTGCAGGAGATGAAAGCACCGGGTCTGGAAGGCCTAGAAGAGCTCAACGGCCTCGGAAAATTGTTGTGCCTCCTCCTCCGCCTCCAAAACCCAGGGGTAGGGCAGCAGCTAAACTTAAAGCTCTTGCTGCAGCTCAGAAAGCGGCAGAAGAAGCATTGAAAGGATCATCTGAAGAGCAGAGCGAGACTAAAGATGAGGAGAATGAAAAAGATGATGGAGGAGTCAAAGCAGCTGATGGGGAAGTCGAGGCAGCTGATCAAAACTCACAGGAAAAAGTCAAAGTCGATGATGAAAATCAGAAAGAGGTGAAGCAACCTGGTAGAAGAGGTCCAAGAGGCCCCTACAAGAAGAAAAATAAGTCGGCCAATGATTCCATTCTAGATTCAATTGAAGATGTTGTGAAAGGCAGTGGAAAAGCAACATTTCCAGACACTTTGGAACCCTCTCCAGCTTCAGGCTTCTCTCGCAAAGGGAAGAAACTTGGTGAGCTTTTACTTTCAGTTTTTATCTTTTAATTTATTTTCGAGTTGATTAGCCTTTTTCACACTTTCAAGTGTTGGTCATGCTCTTTTTTCTTACTTCTCAATACTTTCGATTTCATTTTTTGTTAAATGACAATAAAAGAGAAGCAACCCTTGTGAAGTGAACTTATTGTTTTTCAAACCGGTATTACTTTATCATGTTAAATGAGTGGTTTGGCATAAGGCTAAGAAATATTATGCGAGAGAATTTTAAGGCAACTTATGCGGTGATTTGAATTTATGAATTTGAAAGGCAAAATTTTAGACATGGTGCCCTATTTTATGCCATAATGCTCCTCAGAAATTTTTTCAATAGGAAAGGTTGTATTGGCACTCAACAGTTTATCATCAGTACTGTCCTTGATACTAACCAAGTTGATGTTTCTCAATCCTCAGGGAGGCCAAAAAAAGGTACTGTTGTCGTCAAAACACCTTCCCAGCCTCGTGGTCCACGACCCAAACCATCTGAACCCAAGACCCCCGTAAAGTCCAGTCCTAGTAAGTACTCCCTCAAAGAACTCTTTTCATATACCATCGCTTGGTTCTGTAGTGAACCAGTTGACTAAGTCCAAATTTAAGAATTCTGATACATGTTTTCTGACCAAAATTTCATGTATAATACGATTCTTGCAAAAAGAAAATTACTGAAATTAACTCCGAACTAAGATATTCAACGATTTTCAATGCGTAAATTTAGACCTTTCGCTTGTGAAAAAACAAAAGTCCATGTAAGTCAGCAAGCTTTAAATGTCATTGCAACAGTATCTGCGGTATCCAAATATGGAAAATTTAATCTGAGTGCTTCGAACTAGCTGATGCACGTTTTTTTCACTGAACAATACATTACAGGGACGGAACACAATAGATTGAGAAGCCTACCAAAACATTTGTAGAGTGCGATTTGATTCAAGACTATTGTTTTCCTTGCAAGTGGGTAACTCAAATTTCCTGTAACCAATGTAAAATAAAAACTTTAATATCTTAATAAGAATTTGATTTCAATATTTTTGTTACGCGAATCATGTTCTCCGTGAAATTATGGTTAAAAAACAGTTATTAGAATTCCTAAATTTGTACCCTGTCTACCGGCCCATTGCTTATTTTTCAGTGTCTATTCACAAATTCTAAATTTAAATTTAATTAGGAGGCTGAAAAATTTATATTTTGTGTATCTCTCAAGCAATCAAGATGGAAAAAAAAGTTTAGTAAGGAAACGTATATGCTTTTACTCTAGGCCTGTCCCCGAACCGATCGATCGATCGATTATTTCGATGATCATTCGAAGACCTGTTTCGATCGAAACTGCTCGATCGAACTGCTCGATCGAACTGCTCGA